AGGTTTCCAACTGTGTAAACTCCTTTTTCAGCCCAGGTAAGCCAAGGTGAGTTTGTTGTAAGATCAAGTGGGTTGCCTTTGTCATCCAAGATGTAGGGGTTGCCAAACAGCGGCTGCCTCCATATGTCTTGCCATTGTTGGGGGGGCGCTTTTGGAGCGAACCACACCTCCTCAACAACTTCAACAGATATAGGCACATGGGATCAAGGAGGAGGTCAATTTTGGTTGCTTGCTGAGGGCTATTGATGCGGCTGTACTGCCAGGAAGAGGGTATCGACCGGCATTTATTAGTCAGTCATCCAAACGGGCGCAGACCGTTGTCTGGTGTTGACTCCGAGGTCAGACCAGCTATCTGCAAGCAGGCCAACTAGCCCCCGGGATGTCACTACCTACAAGCAGCCGTACTAGAACTTTTAAAATCAGCGCATCACTCTCCTTTTCCGGATCCAGTATCTCCAGCCCCCCTTTACTTCTTGGCTGCGTGAGGACATCCCACCTCACCCGCTGTACACATCCCTATTCTTTTACACTGTTTTTCCACAGGTATGTTCCAAGTGCTTTCCACACTCTGCGTATTGTTGCGGCTTCAAAGGCCAGACTGCCAGTTTGTACCGTATGGCTGCTAAAATGACGTTATTAATTGCTAAAGCCCTTCCTACTAGTGAGGTTTGTAGTCCTGTCCACTAAGCCAGTCCGTCTATGACCATATTCAGTAGTCTGTTCCCATGGTCAGGCGGGGGCCCAACTGCTGTTAGTCTCACCCCGAGAATTCTGATAATCTCTTCCTTGCGTGCGGAGGCTACTGCCAGGTATTGCGGCGCCGGTTCACCTTGAGAATGGAGCCACCAACCCTCAGTTTTCAATCCCCAATTGACCTATCTGCCACCCGTGAGAAAAGGCGAATGGCTTGAGTGAGACCGCTTATGCTATCGGTGTCTGCTCGAATAAGACCCTTACGGTCACCCATAGACAGCGATGTTATTGGAATGAGGTGCTCGGGGATGTCAGGGTTGGGGACCTTACTGATGTTCGGGTGAGCTTTGATCATCGATGTCATGGCATCCATGTCAATGACAAAGAGCGGTGGCGCTATAGGGTCAACATGACGCACCGATCGTTGAAGGCGAATCGGGGGCGAGAGATGACCATTAAGCATAATATTAATTGTGGTCGACCTATGCAAGAGCTGCACCCAGTAACAGAACACCGGGCGAAAATTCATCTTATCCAGACACATACCTAGGAAGTCTCAATCGACATGATCGTATGCTTTTTCAAAGTCGTTGCACATAATGACCGATGGGACCTTACATTGACGAGCGTACCTAATGGTTACCACCTCCCCACCACCTCCCCACCGAGCCGGCCTAAGGACCTCCCCACCACCTCCCCACCAGGCCGGCCGACGCACCTCCCCATCACCTCCCCACCGAGACGGCCGAAGGACCTTCCCACCACC